TATTCACGTTATTGCGCTCAATTGCAATTTGAGATAATACCACGTTTTTAGCTTGAATGGGTTCAATTTGTAATCTCCTCTATAATAGACGTTATCTAGATGTTATTGGCTTACTGACCTAGGCTCTAATTAATCTTAAACACAAATTCGTCATTTTATTTGTATCTTATATATTTGAAATGTCAGCAAATAATGTTTAACGGTGCATAACAAATTATAATTAAAACATGAGTGTTTAATTTTTAAATTGTAAAATACTACTACATTTTTTTCATAAATTTATGTTGCGTATGACAAGTAAAATTACTAATCGAAAATTTTAATTTATCAAATGCATAGTGTGATTATTTTCTTAATTTCTTTTGAAAAATGTATATATATATATAAAATACATAGTATATTTTGTATTATATACACAGTATTTAATACGTAATTCTAAATGAATTAATAAAATCATCATACTACGCATTTGATATATTAAATTTATTAAATTAATATATGAAATTGATATTTTTTTAATGCTTGAGGAATGTATAACTAAAGTAAAACATGCTTTTTATTAATTATGTGAAAAAGAAATTGATAATTGTTTAATCCTTCATTATCCTTATTTATAAATATAACCCCACATAAATATAATACCACATCTTATAATAAACATCTCACTGAATATATTCTTTGAATCATCAACATTCCGACTTACAGATCTTTACAGATAGACAAATGACATGCCATTATTAGGTTATTTCAACCTCCTAATTCCATATTACCCCTATATGTGAATTTGTAAGTTTGTTGATTATGTTATAAAGGGGCACTACTTTAATGGTTCAGTGTTGATCCTATGTTCCACCGCAATTTGGAAAGTATACCAATATTACATTAGTAGCATCTGAGGTATCAAAACCATTACCAACCTCCTCGAATTCTATATGGTTGTGGCTATTAAACTATTCAAGATTTCTTAAAAATGTTTTGAAAATTTAAATTTTGCACATTTAACATATGAATTACTGTTATTAAGACATTTTTACGGGAAAGAATGTATTAAAAAACGACAAATCTTAGATAACAAATTCAAAATTAGAGTTTCAATGAAATAAAATATTTTGTCCTTTTTAATGTAAATCATATTTGACAATTATGTGTTTAAATCTACACAATATGTAATAATATAAATATTACATATAAACTTTTACATTAATTGTTCAATCAAGCGAACTAATAGGAGTTGTTGAAGTTTTAATTAAATTTTTTTTTTCACTCCTGGAAATATACAAATCAAACTGAAGGAATTTGAAAAAAAAGATTAGTACATGTTACATACTTATTATTTAGAGTGAAAATAAAATAATTTAAACAATTTGATGTATAAATATCAAAAATAAAAATTTTATACAAAACATTAATTAAAAAGCATTTTTATTATAGAAAATTATCATTAATATGTTTAACTGTTAAACTGACATCAATACAAAAATTAAATTAATTGAATTAAATATGCTTATCAAAAACATCTAAAGGGTTATTCGCATCTTTTAGAAAAAAATCTCGCCAGGAAAAATTCAAAGGATGTGGCAACAATCGCAAATAATCCAAAATGTCAAGTAATCCCTTTGCGATTACCTCGAGGTCACAGATTGAGAACCACTGCTCTATAGGATATTTATAATCTACTTATTTATAATTTCCATATTTTATTAAGACAGATGAATTTTCTGCTTCTATTCACTTTTCGAGCTACGAATTGAGTTTCCTCAGTCCAAAATTTCAGTCGACTAACATCTGGTTGCTAAAGGTTCATTAATATTCGTTCCAATATGTTGTTTAGTACCTTAATAAATATTTATCAAACTTTAGCTTTCTGACGAAACTAATACTTTTTTCCTGAGTTAAATATAAATATTTGATATTTGGACTGTGAATATTCCCCTTGAGTTGTCACCCAATGTTGAGATAAAACATTTATTTTATCCGCATAAGCTGTATTGGAAAAAAATGATTAATCATTGAATCATAAAGTACTGACATTCCAAGTATTAATAAATGGTCATGTGTATTGCTGAGGAGAACATGAATGAAAGAAAAGAAAAGTGCATTAAAGCCGAACAAAAAGAAAAGCGCAATTGGCGCACATCATTGGTTTAAACAGTTATATTGCTTATGATAAGCCTCAAGAGAAAAACGAATCACTTGTGGTCATTTTATTGTGCTCTTTTAAAAATCACATTGAAAACCTCTTTTTAGTACAGTTTTACAATAGGTTTTCAATCTATATTATATAAAAGGATTTTTGCGTAATACCAAATAGTTGACTCCAAAATTATTTTCTGTAATACTGTTATAATTTAGAGATGTATGGGCCTGAATGGCCGAGTGGCTAGTGCTCTGACGCTCGGTACCACAGGTTTCGGGTTCGAATCCCGACTTTGCCCATGGGTATTATAGTGGTTCGGAATCCACTTTAAACCGTAGGTCCCGGTCCTAATAGGATCGTAGAGCTTTGTAGGGGCATTGTTACTCCGCGTTCGTGGCTTATCTTCAAGTTACATGCACCGCCTGGGTAATGCAAAGTGAGTACGCCTGTGCAGCGCTCACCTTAAGGCATCTAAGACGTCCATGTCTGTTTGCCAGCTGCATTGAAAAAAAAAAGATGTATTAGAAAAAAAAAATGATTTATGCATTTCTTTAACAAAAGGAAGGTGTAGAGTTTCGGAAATAGAAAAGGAATATGTATTTTTTTTAATATAAATATTCATGAGATTTTTAAATTAAATGTAAATTGATAGAAATTATAAAATTATTAGTTATTATTCAATATTAGAGAATGATTTACAAATAAATAACAGTTTAAAAAAACTGACAACATGAGAAATCTTTTTTCTGTAGAAGGATTACCTTTTCAAAATTAAAAAATAATTAACATACAGTTATTGAAAAAAAGAATCACAATTTAACTATTTAAAATGATTTATTAAAATTTTGCGGTATTTTCATGGCGTAAATTTAGATATTAATAATGTATCATTCTGTAGTTATATATTTCTCATTTCTTTTTTTTGTAAACTTGGAGATGAATTTAAATTGATAATTTAGATAAACAAGTTCTTCTCTTGAACAGAGATTTAAATAAAAAAAATTTAAGCGTTGGAAAAAAATTTCATTAGTGGTTTAAAAATAATATTTAAAATTGTGATTATAATTAACTGAGCATAGATTTGATAAAGTATTCTTTGAAATGAATACCCTCATATAAAATTAGAAAAATTATAAATTACTCTTTTCATAACTTGTGAAAAAAAATACAAATTCACGCAGTATAAAAGTCAGCATCAAATGTCTTACGCCACATTTTCATTTTTATTATAGAGGCAAGTAATTTTATTTAGATCGCTGGAAAAGAAAACGGGAACAATTAGGATTATTATTTCACAAACAGGTGGAAATTATTTTCGTAAAATACATTTTATTGTTTAATTTTATTGAGGTCTGTAAATGAAATCACACAAAGAATTACGGGAAAAAAACATTTTCATTTGCCATGGAATATGATTATTATTACATTTCATCAACATTTTTTAAAGTTTTTATTTTTGCTTGGTAATAACATAACGAAGTTTCTGGCCTTTTTGGTGTAAGGAATTTATAAGAAATTATTTCTGATTTAATATGAAGTAGATGTTCTCTTAGAAGATACTCTAGATGCCTTAAAGAAAAACATATTAATAATATAATTTCTTCTAAGTAGTCGAATCGTCAAAGCCATTCTTTAGAAACTATACCATCTTTAGAAAACTGGGAATGCAACATTTTCCAAAAGGAAATTTAACTCTCGGAACTCATTAGCTAAATAATTAATTAATGGTAGATTTAATCGTGATTTAAGTAGCACATTTCCTTTTTCTCAAAAGTATTATTTAAGGTAATTATTTAATATTTGCATTCCGTGAAGATAGTCAGTTTTTTAAATGCTTACTATTGATATTCAAAAAGAGTTTTAGGAATCCATTCAATGATAGCGCAATGTTGACAACATTAAAACTTTTTAACTAACTTAAACAGCATTACATTTTAGCAGCATTATCTCTTTCAAATTAATAAGGAAATGTATAAGATTCTTAGCCTTAATAAATACAAAAATTGGGCTTTTAAAATAAACTATCCTAAGCACTGGAAGACAACATTAAAATCCTAGCATTATCCCATCAATATTAACTGGTTATTAATTCAGAATAAACATTTATGATTGCTAAATGTCTGCTTTAAAACGAGAAAAAGTTATATGCTGAGCCTTAAGGGGGAAAAGTACTCTTTAACTTTCATAAGTACTTTTCTAGGCTGTCTAACCATTTCCTAAATTCTCTAGTTGTGGAAAATACTTATTTTTCGTTTCCTGTAACTTGATTTTTAGATAGCAAAACGAAGCCAAATAAAAGTTGAAGGAAATTAAAATAATTTATTTTTCCAACTGTGGGCGTGAAAACTAAGAACAACGAATTCAGAAAGCACAGCTGTTTATTCTAGCTGTCTATTTCCGGTGAAAGTAGGTTGGAATAAAACTTTTGGGAAGATTAGTTAAAAAAAATACCGCACGTTTTTTTTCCTTTTATATGTTGCTGACAGATGTTCCAATTTCTATTAAAGTCATGGAAAATCAATGAAATTGAGAAAAAATTTAACCTTTTGAAGAATAAGCAAGTATGTTGTTGTTGTTTCTTATCCCACTTGGCTGGCCAAGCCCACGAGCCCATACGTGCTCATGATTGAAGGGGAAGGAAGCAGCTTCTGTTGTGATGGAGCACCCGTAAGTAGAAGCCTGACTTTTGCTCAGTGACGCTCTTACAGTCATAGGAGACTGGGACCTACAGCTTAAAGTGGATTCCGAACCACTACAAACATCCATGGCACCGCCGGGATTCGAACCCGAAACCTGTTGGCACAGAGTGCCAGAGCGCTAGACACTCGGCCATTCAGGTCCCAAATTTGCCAACGGCACGCGGTGTTGTTCCCAGGTGGTCACCCACCCAAGTACTCACCGCGCCCAATGATGCTTGACTTCGGTGATCTAACGAGAACCGGTATATAAGCAAGTATAAAAAGAGTTAATAAGCGAAATATTTTTTTAAAGTGTTAATTGAATTTCATTCATATGCATTATTTTTTTTTAATTTTGTATTAAGAGTCTTTAGAAAGAAGAATTTTAACAAAATTACAAATAAGAAATATCTAAAAAATATAAAAGTTCATTTAGTATTTATCTACAAATTTCAAGTTTAAAAGATAGTATCTATGAAAAGTTAAGTTAGATCAAAATTAATTATTAATTGCTGCAATGAACAATTGCTGATGAGAATTTTTTTAAGTTTTTATATTTGCTAGAATATTTAAAATTCTTAACGAAAAAATGAATAAAAATATTTCCTCATTGATAAATGCAATTAAATTTTTAAATACTGAAACATGAGAATCTATTCAAGCATTTAATGCACTTAAAATATTTTTATCTTTGGATATTAATTAAAGAATTTTGTAATAACTTAAATAGTAAGAATTAGGTTTAAATACCTTTAACAATAGTAAAAAAAAAGTTAAAAATTCGTAATAAAATGTGATATTTTCTTACTGCGAAATGAGTAATATTTATAATTTCAAAGAGAACCGTATGTTTTAATTCTTAATATAAATTTTTTATCTGTAAAATATTAGTTGTCGGAGTTTATCCTAATTTTTTATTAAAAGCAGCTAAAATAAAAATATATTATTATTTTCGTTTATAGAAATAGAACTGATAGCCTTAACTGATATGATATCCAGTGATAGCCTTAGCTCGTAAAGATTGGTCTGTCATAGTACAAAGATATATGTCATATGACGTTTTCAGAAAATAATTTAACTTTTATACAAAAGTAAGGAAATTAACATAGGATAAAAATAATTTTTTAGAAGAAATAAATAAAATAATGTGTAGAATATTTATTTATTGTAAAGTAAATCAAATGGTATATTTGTGCAATTCTTTGAAATTGAATAAACTATTATGATATATTCACGAAGTATAAAAATGTATAAATAATCTATTATGAATACAAAATATTTTATGGTAAGTGAAAATTTCGAACCTTATTTTAATTAATTTTTAATTTGTGTTGGATTTTATGTTTCAAAACCATAATAAGAAGTGCAATTAATATGTTCTTACATCAAACAAATTGATGGGAAAATTATATGCAATGTTTAGGCTGCTAACAGTAACACGAAAAATTGTGAAGCCAATCTCGAAATTACTATTAAATTACTTATAACTAAATAATAGTCGAAATCTCTACCAATCTCGAAATAACTTATTAAGTTACTTACTTACTTTACTTATTATTGCTTGGAAATTGGGTATAATTTATTGAGAATAATTGATACGAAATCGTAGCTTCAAATGTTTCAGGATGATTGACTTTATTACAAATGGCAATAACAAAGTAGTAAATAATGAAGGGAAGAAAAAATTTCGGCACCATATAGAAAGAAAGAAAACAACGTGATTTTCGTTGTTAACCCGACAACATCCAATATACAGTCCATTCATCACGACCTTTTTTATTATCACTTTTTATGAGCACATGTCAGTAACTATCTTTACGCCCCATTTGTCTAAAACAATATACGAATTAAAAGTGGACATGAAAAATACACTGTCATCAATAACCACGAACATGCATCGCAACGTTTGGCAAGAAATGGAGTATTTCTTGGATGTTGACCATGTGATCAAGGGTAGTCACGTCGAACAGAATGAAATATGGAAGCAAAATTTTCTTTTCATATTATGGTCAAATTTTTTCTTCCTGTCATTGTTCACTATAAGGTTATTTTCATTTTTATTCAGAGCATTTTGAAACCCTTGTATTTCAAAATAAAAAATTCTGCTTCGATAAAATTAAATACGTAAAGCACTTTTGCCTGCAATTATTTAATATTTTTTCTTATTTACCTTTCGCAAGAATATTGATCTATTGATCTTTGAATTAATTTTTATATTAACGGAATATATCGTACTTAACGCGTGAAAGTTTTTTTTTTTAACTTTATAATGACTTCATGAATTTATTAGATTAACGAATTCTGCTGCAGCCTTTTTTTCTGATCTTTTTTTTTCCTTTAGTCTTGTCTCTTGCTGTAATTTTTTATAATCTGCATTAGAAATAAAAAAATTTTTTCCTTTTGTTAATAGAATTATTAATGGTAATTTAAATTATGCTGTAATTCAGAGTAATTAAATGGTTTTTAGTATGAAACCTAATTTCATTTAACAAAAATACAATAAAGATTTACTCTAATTTCTATTTTTTTTATTTCTGCCTCTTACGACTGTTTAATATTTAAAAAAGGCGTTAAAATTCTGTTGATGTTATTCTTTTAAGAAAAAGTGTGTGAAAATATTTGAATGTGAAAAATAACAGCGTGGAGTAATTCGTCGTTAAGAATTGCAAAATAGTTTCCGATATAATTTTAATTCTTTATTACCAATGTTTAAAATTTTCAGTGAAAAAAAAATTGCCATTATACTGAAGGTTATTTTGTAATCATTTGAATAAATTTTGAATAAACTCGTTCTTCGACGTTCTTAGTTTTCCAAGTAATTTTAAATAATTTTCAAGTAATTTTAAACCGTAATTTTTAAAAAAGAAGCATCGGGGAAACACCAGTTGAAGATTCGCGTAGCACGAGGTTGTTTAAAATGTTACTGACATCCTGTAATTCTTTGCTAACTTTACACACTGCGAGTGGTGTTAATATGGTGAAGATGAATTCTTTTTGTGTGCATATACAGACTGCATCATTTGGTTTAAATTTAGCAAGAAAATTCCTGCCAAGAGGATTATGAACACAGCGAATTTCTCTTCATGCTGTCCAAAATAATACGTTTAATAAAATTTGCATTCCTTTATTCCACGATCCGAAACTCAGTGAAGTAAAGCCTGAATATTTATCTTATTGCAAACTTCTTTTGAGAATTTCCTAGATTTTACAGTAAACTGAAAATCTCTTATTAAATCTAGGATCTTTGATTAAATTTACATATAAAAACGTGAGAAAGGGAATTTTACGAAAGGAGGTAAAAATTCCCCAATCGCGGAATTGTTGTCTGAGCGATCTGCTCGCTTAAAGACTTTTGTGCACCATTTGTTGGTTTAAAGAATATCTTAAAAATTTATCGCATGATTTCAAATTCATGTTCATTGCCCCTTATCATTCTTGAATCAATTTCAGCTAATGGCGGGAAGAACTGCCTCGTGTTCTGTGCAGATAAGCGTTCTCTAAGGTGTTTTTAAATGGAATAATGTGTTTTTGATTACTCAAACGAAAATTCCACTCCAGCTGTGATATATTCTACTTCGAGAAAGCGATGTTGGGCTTTGGGAATGGGGATTGCTTTTCTCAAAATTTAATTAGTGTATACAAGAGCATTAGTGTATTGAAGTATTTGAAGTATTATTAGTGTATTGAACAGGAATAAGTGCTGCATAAAAAGTATTCATTGATATATTCATTGCACGTGTTTAAGCAGGGAAAAGTGGCACATTTCCTCTAGAATTCTTTTTATAGAAACTTCCTTTCCATACATATCTCCCTACAGATTTTCGTGATACGTATATTGATGGATCCAGTTACACAAGTACATGAAAAATCTACGTACTCATGCATAATGTATTATGAAACTAAAACTTTTAATTAAATTGCTTATTAACGAACTTAAATTTGTTTCATTTTCTTCGATGTTTCCCACTTCAATTTTAATAAAATGTTTTTACACAGTATTTCTAAAACTAACCTATAAACCTTTGGAGCTCGATCCGAAAACTTGGGTGACACTTAATTAATTAAGAAGATTAATATAAATATGAAAAGAGGGCTTAGATAGCTTTTTCTGAATTTTAAATGTATCTTTTTTCTAGACGAATAATTTTTTTACCTTGTACTCTAATACTATTTGAGTGTTGATATTTTTTCATGCGATTAATTGTGGAAGATGCAAATTTTTTATGTATTTAGAGAATTATATTGTAAAAAAAAATATAAGCTAATTTAATATTTATTTATATATTATCGAATATTTATCTAATTCAAGAAACCAATACTATAAAAATATAACTCAATTATGCCAAACTGAAGCTTTTCTTAATTGTATGTTAATTTTATTTTGTAATTTCTAGCTGTGATGTTTCGTAATTTCTAGCTATGATATTAATTAACAAGTCTTTATAATTGGATCTAATTTGAATAATACATTGCTATCCAAGTGGGGTTATTCAGATATGTCAAATCAAATTATAAATCTTTGCTCGGATGTGGAATGTAAATATTTTTCCTTATAATTACGAATGCCAATTTATTCAGCTCAATGCAAATATTATTAGGCGAAAAAATATATAAATATATATATTATCATATCATAATTATTATGTATGTTTATCCAATTTTTCACATTACACTTTTTTGAATCAATAAAAGACGCATCTTTTGATATTCACCGCTGAGAAACGTTAATTTCTTTTGAAAGCCTCAAAAAAAAAAAAAAAAAAAAAAAAAAACGTTAATTTTTTTTCTCCTCAAAACAGTTATTGTATGTAATTATTTCGCTATTTTAATTTATTTTCTCCTGTAGCTTTAAATATTTTGTTTTGTTTTGTAACTTAGTAAATAATAAAATTCATTTTAATTCATCAACAATAGTTTGATTTTTAGAAAAAAAGATATATGCTAGCAAATTAGCACTACTCATATGGAAGTTCGTTGAATAAATACCCTGAAATTTTTTTTTTTTATAAAAATTAGATTTAAAAAAAAAATAGCTGTTTTATTTAGATATATAAAATTATTTACTCTAAAGGAAGTTGATTTTTAAATTAATTTCTGTTTAAATTAATTCTATATGATAAGTATTAAATTATTTTAGCAACTATCATAATTTATTTTGTAAAATGAATTTAATGCTATTTTTCACCACATGTTTAAAAAACATTCATTTAGTACCTGCCATTGTACCAAATATATAATTTGTAAAAAAATATTGAGGAAAAACTAGCAATT